TGGTTCAGGTTCTGAAGAAGATTTTGGTAATGCATATTTATTTAAAAAGTTTGATAAATTATCATAACTATATTTTTCTACATGTATCAATGAGAATTATAATGTTAATATTAATAATACACATTCGCACAACCAAAAAATAAAAATGAAATTAATTAAAATACCCGTAAATTCTATTACTTCATATGGAGAATCTTTTGGTATGACAATGAATTTAGGAAAATCTGTTATATTAAATCTTTCCAGAATTGTCGTTTCAAATTTCCTGACTTCCGCCAACAACATTCTATTATGAAATTCTACTGATAACGCTTTGTAAAGATGCGTTGTTTTATCTTTACTTGTGAAAAGAATTGCTTTTGAAATTGTTCCATTCTAAATAAAACAATTATAAATAATACGTATTTAATGTGTGTAAAATATATTTATATATAAATAACTTACACTTTTATCTAGAAATTCATCAAGTGTTAAAGATTTCTTTGTTCGAGTTTTTTCTGCTAATGGTTGTACAAATGATGGTATCTCCTCAAGAGCAAATTTTACAAGATCTTTAGCAGTTCTTGGTCCATTGTAATCTATATAAATATCAATATATTTTTTAGTGAGAAAAAATTATTTAAGGAAATAAAATAAAAATCATTCAAACCTTTTGGTCTTTTTATAAATTTTTTTGGATTTTTTGGATCAGGAATTGATTGACTAGGGAAAAGTTTAATAGTTGGAAACCCTGTTATTAAAATTAGATTTACTCATAACAATTCAATTTTTCTTTTTTTTTTTTTCTTTTGAAAATCAAAAAATGTTGTATGTGTGATGAATGTAATGTTATAAACAAAACACCAAAATCACCTTTAATCTCATTTGCAGAACACACATTTCTATTTGATTGATCATCACAATCAATAGCTGCCACTTTCACCAATCCTTTTAAATTCTCTGCTGCCTTTATATATTCTGGTGTAAGTCTATATATGCAATATATATCATTATAAGATCACAGATTAAATACGTATTATTTATAATTGTTTTATTTAGAATGGAACAATTTCAAAAGCAATTCTTTT